AAAGCTACTAGGGAAAGCAGGCCATGTCCCCCAGTTTGGTACAAAGAGTGGATGGGTGGTGGATCTAAATGTAGATTTGCCAAGTGTAGCACTGAAGAGGTTTGAAGAGCAGCATGGTTGGAACCCAAGTGTAAATGTTTTTCCATGGATAACTGCAGCTCTGCTGTTATTTCCGGAAAGCGCAAACAAAGTGAGTGACAGTGAAAAGTGAAGTTTTGGCAAAGATAAAAGGAATTGCTTTCTTGCAAAAAGACTGTGTGTAGAAGAGATGAGCCATTAAACTGAGACATGATATAGATTCCTGGCTGTTGTTCGAGTGAAGGAAAACAATTTTTTCCCCTGAAGACTTTACACAGGTGACTAGTCAGAGTAAAGAAACCCTTTGCTTTTATCAAAGATCAAAGAGAGTTTTCTTCTTTGCTGCCACTGCCTCAAAATCTTTGAGTCACTCAAAGCCCTTCTTTTCAGTTGTGTTTGGTTCTGACTACTAAAAAGCCAAGAATTATCTGAGTGACCGCTAGGGATGGATCTGTCTATATGTTATCACTTTGCATGCACGCACTGAAAAGTATATTCCATCCTGTCTCTGTTTTAATTTGCCATTTAAACATCTGCATGGTTTTATTTATATTTGCATTTAAATATGTATAGTCAAATGCTTTCTCACAAATACATACTTCAGAAAGTGTTTTTCTTTAAAATGCACTATTCTAAATTCATTTTATACTTAAAAGAAAAATAGTTTTATATGCATGTTGGTACCTTTTCAAAGCTAAGAAATGCAGAAGTATGAACTCCACAGGATAAGTGGACTTCAATCTGTTAGTCCAGGAGCTGCAGATCACACGAGTTCTTTGCAGAATTCACAAATTTCATTCATTAAGCATTTGGGAAGAAGAATCCCATTGTCCCTGGGAGAACATCCCAGGGACTGTGAGTTAGTTCAGATTTCTCTCCCACGGCTGCAGGTACCCCTACAACCTCAGGAAAGGGATCTGACATTGGATCCTTCCCTCTTGTAATCAAGGCCACCATGGGAAGAAATGCAGTGGCTGCTTCCCAAAGTTGCTATCATGACTTCAAAGAGATCCAAAAAGAGGCAGTGCAGTGGGAGGGGAAGCCAGACTAGGATCCATCAGAACCTATGAACTCTCCATTATCCATGCCTTTTCCCTGCTGATAAGTGTACTAGATGGGCTCAGAAGTCCATCTAGTTGGACTTTTTCACCAGCAATGAAAAGCAAAATCTCTCCACCTTCCTCATACCCTATGTGGCTCTTGCAAGCACAGCTTAGCATAGGTGGCAGGCTACAATCTCAGAGCCCTCCTCCCACTGAGGCTGCAATCCATAGGACTTAACTCTTAAAGACAGGTAAGTTTGCATTTGATGAAATTATCTGTCTCTCCCCCAGTTTGCTTACAAAGCAAGCTTATTATATGCTTAGCTGTTCATTTTGCCCTTTCATAATGGATCACAGGTGGGTAGGTGGTTAGGTTCATTGTTGGCTGTTGTTGATTACTATAAGTAATAGTAAAAAAAGGTAACTTTTTCCCAGAAAGTAACACTCCAGACAGTCAACAACCATCACAATGTAGCTTATCAATAAACCATAGAATCAGAAGCAGCGGGGAGAATAAATAAAAAAAAAGTCTGCTAAAATCTTGCCAGAACAACATTTTTGACTGATGCTTCAATGCACAGAAGTGCACCAGCCGGATATACTGGGGTAAGAAAATTTACTATAAGGGCACCACTACTGCATAGGCCCTGCTCAACATGTCTACAGTAACCTATAATAGGGGTCCCCAAACTTTTTCAACAGGGGGCCAGTTGAAAGGTGCTGGCGATGGATGCAGGCCGCCAAGGCGGTGCGGGCAGGGGGCACAGGGTGGGGCGGGGCACAGGTGCAGGTGCAGGCACGGCGAGGCAGGAGCGGGCGCGCACAGAGATCGCTTTCTCCAAGCGAGTCCAAAATGATCTCCTTGCGAGCAAGCCGCCACTGGGCATGTGCATGGCAAGGCGCCAGCTTGCTCACGAGGGGATCCTGTTCGCCGAGTGATTCCAAAAGGATCTCCACACGAGCAAGCTGCCGCCTCGTCACACGCACACACGTGCGCGCGCGGTGAGTCCAAAACGTCTATGGCAGGCTGGATAAATGGGCATGGCAGGCCAAATTCGGCCCCTGGGCTGTAGTTTGAGGACCCATGTCCTATAACAATGGGAAGCAGCTCAGGGCTTCCACCAGAGACAAAAGAGCATGGACTATGGCTGTTACTGCCTTCACACAGTCTCTTTGTGAGCACTCATGGGCTTCAGGGTGTTGGAGGTGGATAACAGCATCACCGGGGGTGGGGGTGTCTTTCATCTGATTCAGCAAGATGAGTTTTATGTGCCAGGAATAAGAGACAAACTGCTGAGGTTGGTTTGATGCAGATTATACAGTTCAGCATTTCAAGCAGTCAAGTGGCAGGGAACCAAGGTTCAATTTAGATGCCAGAAAGTACTTCCTGACAGTTAGGACCCCGAGGGTATGGAATGGACTTCCATGGGAGGTAGTTGTTCAAGGATAGGCTGGACATGTCATGAGCAGAGCCGGCTGAAGCCAGGGGTCAGACTAGATGGCCCGGGAGACCCCTTCTGACTCACTCTATTTCCATGTTTCTGTTCCCAAGCTGGTGCCTTCCAGATGTGTTGGACAAACTGCCCTCATGACCCATGCTGACTAGGGATGATAGGAGTTATAGTCTAATTCATATGGAAGACATAGGTTGGGGAAGGCTGGTTTAGAGGACTTTCTCAAAAACAGAGCCGCCTACTCAAAATTATTTAGTGAATGTCTTTACAAATTTGCTGATATTTTCTTTTAAACTATCTTTTACGAAAGGGCATAAACCAAAAGAAGTGACTTTGGAGCATCAAAGAAGACAAGTTGAAGCAAGTGCAGTAATCAAACCTTTCATTGTTCTCATAAAAGACGCTAGAAAGCAGACAGAGCTTTCATTCCTCTTTGGGAGGAGGCTATGCTCATACTTTTGATTCCACAGAGAAAGCAAGAAAAATGACAGGGATGCAGTCCTTTTTTTAAAGAGAGAAAATAATAATCAGCAAATCTCAAGGTGAATCAGACAGAAAGACTAGTGAAATGGATTTCAGTTTGAAAAAAGTTACATAACTGACTTTTTTTTTTTTACACTGAAATATACTGGACTGAACATAGGGTCTGGTTTGCATTTCATTTTGATAAAGTGGTAAACTAAGCAAACACTCTGTTGAAAATTAAAAGTTATAGGAAATATTGGAGGTAATGGCCAAGTAAATAAGTTAAAGATCAATACATACAACTTTGATCTTCATAGTCACCTTTTAAAATTCATGTCAGTGGAACAGATGAAGAATAACATACCTTGCATAATTCTGTTGAATGACAGGGAAAGTAATCCTATAGTCCAGGAAGAGCATGCCAGGGACCATAAGTTTGTTTGTTTTGTTTATTTATTAGATTTATATCCCCCTTTTTCTTTTTCTTTTTTTTCAAAGAACTCAAAGTGGCTTACATCTTTTGAGTCCCCTATCCAAGGCTGCAGACACTCCTATGGCATTGGAAGAGAGACTGCCGTATATGATCTCTCGCCAGCCCTACTGCAGACAGCAGGGAAAGAACCACATTGCTGGCTTCCCAAGGTTGCAAATGCAGCCTTTGAAAGAAAAGAAGAGGCAGCATTCCAACGGACTGGGAAAAGAGGGGAGAGGAGAGGCCAGGATGCGACCGCAGTGCACCTCTCTAGATGTGTTCAAAGGGCAGCAGGAGAAACATGGAAGCTTCCGAACTTGGAGGTCTCTGTCTCACAAGGGCACAATGCATGGGATTTTATCCTTCATCTTTTCTTTTCTGAAAACTATGTTGTATCATTTCTAGTTATGCTTACTCCGTTATTTACATGTGTGAGCATGCATATGCCTTTAAAATAAGCAACAGAAGACCTAAAGCACAAGTTTCTTTTCTGGAAAGCAGGCTTTTCTTTTCTTAATATATACGTGCTCAGTTCATTACATGAGTGAGTAGCAGAAGAAATCCTAAAGCAAATTATAGAAATGACTCTTGCCACAACAGGGATCCAATTCGCATTATCGTGTCTGGATACACACACCTGTGATAGTGCAACTAGGCTTCAAATAATAAGTGAAATCCCGTATCAGGTTAATATCAGTGCCATGCCACTAATCCCACATGGCAAGAAGAGATGGTACACTTAACGACTCAATCTCAATCAACAGCAAAGTCCCAACTACTTTGACGTTTTCCTCAGGAACCTTTTTCAAGCTGGATAGACCTTCCTAAATGAAAAGGGGGAAAGAGCTGCCAAGTAGATTATTTTTATTTATTTATTTATTTATTTATTTATTTATTTATTTATTTATTTATTAAAACATTTTTATGCCGCCCCATTTACCGAAGCCTCGGGGCGGCTCACATCAATAAATTAAAATAATTATAATATAAATTAAAATATAAATATAAAATTAAAATACAGCAATACAGTATAAAATAAGCCGCCCTGGCCAGATAAAACCAATAATGTTAACAGTTAAAATGCCGTTTGAATAAAAAGGTCTTCGCCTGGCACCGAAAAACAAATAACGACGGCGCCAGGCGGACCTCTCTGGGGAGCGCGTTCCATAACTTAGGCGCCACCGCAGAGAAAGCCCTCCTCCGAGTACCCACCCTCCTAATTTCTTTCATGGAGGGTTCCCGGAGATTATGTAGCTGCACGACAAGCCCTGCCTGCCATTCAGCCAAGCAATGTGGCCACCTCAAGCGGCAATTGTTGGGCATCAAGAAAAGGCAGCAAAGGGTTAGTTGTTAATTGATTACCATTGGACTGGGTCCAGATTTCAGTCAGACTTACAGCAAACCCACTGAAATCAATGCAATCTAATTTAGTAATTGTCATTGTCCATATTTAGGTTTCAACCAGAAGGATAATAAATTGTCTCTTACCTGCCCTCCATAGTAGAACTCTTCTGAGTCATTATCCCCTTCTGAATCTTCTTCGACTGCACTGCTGTGCCTAGACTCCTGGTAAAAAAAAACGCAAGGGGAAGAAGAATTGACAGAAAAGAATTGATGGATTTTTTTTACCCTTGTCCTTTTCAACTATGAATTACACAAACTGAGAACTGGCAAATATTGTGCTATGAATCAAGATGGTCTCAGCTCAGATCGTGCCTCTGCCACCAACTCACAGTGTGCTTTAGGCAAATCATCTTCTCTCAGCTGTGAGAATTACAACCAGTGCTTTGAACACAAAGGATGTAGAATGAAGGAACCTAGGGATTTTCGCATTTGTCCATCTTCCCATCAGGCCAGTGCCTAAGAACATGATTCAGACTCTGAGAAAATGAAAATAGTTTTCCTGCAGTGCAGTATAGAACCTGTACTGGAGGAGCTGTTTGCTTAAGCAGGTGTTTTCTCTCTTTCTTGATTTGGAAGAAATCTGGGCATTTGGTTAATCAGAAGGCTTAATAACCCGGAGGACTGCTAATCAAATGAAGCTTCACAGACAATAAGTGGCACAGAGATGTACAGCAAATTACTAGCAATGTTGTATCTCTGAAGTGTATATAATGACTATACTACTTTATATATTAGAATCTTATGGGCCATTTTTCCCTCTTGGATCAAAACCATTTTCAGTCTAGACTATAATACATTCTTCATTCCTGCCTTGTACACGGGGCTGTAACTGAATAGGAATCAGTTGTGTAACTCTAACAGGGGAGAGAAATCTCTAAAAATCAGATTCCTTTTGATAGCAGCTTTTTCAACCAGTTATCTTCAAATTCAGGACAATCATATAGTCAGGCTATAAAAGAACAACCTGTATACTGTACATTTCATTTTGATTAAAAATGGGGTGTTTATTTTATTTTCTTCTAACAAATGACCTTAACTAAAGGAGAAACATGCAGCAACATTTACAGTTGGCACAAACCAGGGAGGCTTTCCAAAGAAAACATCAACACAGGTGAAAGAATCATAAAATGGAAGATCATGCTGTGAACGTAGCTGAGCAAAACTCTTGTCCAATTCTCACTGAAATGAATTCATTTCATGTAGGAGGAAGGTGTGAACAATTGTATCCTGTCTGTTGAACTAGGTGAAGGAAAGCAAGATAGAAAGAGAGACAGAAATGCTTTTCCCCTAGCCTTTCGAAGCCCCTTTGGCTCCACAAAGTTTGGTTCTGCCAACCAGAGACTATTTGGGGATTGTCCACAGGGGCTGAAGTCCCAAATATTTCATTTAGAGCTCTGAATCTCTAGAAGGCCAGGTGCTGCACAACTTCTTGTCCAGGAGCACTTGCTGAAATAAAGGTCCAGGGTCCCTGATCATCTCTGTTGCATCTGATCCTGCTGGATTAGCTGGCTTTTGCCCACAGCTGCTTCAGCTGCTGCTACCCTCCCTTGAATCTTTCTACTTGAGTTTTTGTTTGCCTAAAATCAAATGTTCTCCTCCCCTTTGTCCAATCATCCCTTTCTAAAAGATGGATGATGTCCTTGGGAGACAATGATCCTTTAAAGAAACAAATATAAAGCGTTTCAAATGTACGAAAATTAGCAAATGTGTGGTTTTTTGTTTTTGGTTTTTTGTCCTTCATTTTAGTCCTATGGACCAGAGCCTTGTCACTTTTCAGTACCTGCCCCTGCCCCTGCAGTCAACATGAAATCAGTGCTCGAAGAAACACAGAGAACTGCCTCATACCAAATTAGGCCACTGATCATCCAGCTCAGGACTGTCTCTGTGCAATGACCTGCAGCAGCTCTCCAGGTGTCCCTCCTATTCTATTCCTACCTGGAGGGGCCACAGATTGAATACGGGACCCTTTGTCTGCACAGGATATGTTCTGTAACCGCTTCTCTGCCTCTCAGAATGACTCTGGCCCACAGATCTTAAAAAGCACATGGACCAACGCAACACCACCCTGTGGACCCTTGAAGGCTAACACACATCATGGCATGCACTTCCAGAAACAGAATAACCCAGTTATTGGGGCCTTCTCTGCAGTGGTACCCCAGTTGTGGCATTTACTCCCCAGAGAGGTTTGCCTGGAGTCGTCACTTTATTCTTTTCAGTGCCAGGTTAAAACCTTTTTATTTTCCCAATGTTTTTAAGATCTGATTGTTTTAGTTGGGGTATTATTGTCAGTTGGAATTTTTAGGATGCTGTGCTTTATTTTACATTGTTGTATTGTTAAACCACCCTGGGAGTTCAGTAAAGGATAGTCTAGAAAAGTTTTAAATAAATAAATAAGTTATAGACAAGTAGATGAGACAAGCACTAAAGGAAGGGTGTGATCTTATCTAACTTTAAAAAGAAAAAAAGACCTACAACTCCTAGGCCATTTTTTTCTGCCAAAACTTGCACAGGATTGTACCCTAAGTGCATTAGTCTTTCTGGTGTCATAACACTCTTTGTTCCTTTTCCTAAACATGATTCTTATGCACCTCATCCGGATAATACATAAAAGAGCAGCATAGAGAATAGTCACACAAACAATTCTAAAGTCAGACCCAGGATCTCCTTATGTTCCTATCACATTCTCTATATTCATTTCTCACTCTCTTTTTGAATATGTATCATTTATTTATGACAGAACTATCCTGCGGTTTCTTATTTCCATGAAAAAGTACACACACAGGTTCCACTGGCAGGGACATCTCTATCACATTCCATCAAAAAGCACCCAGACCTCTGGATAACTGCCATCCTCTAGGAACTTCCTTTGACCATGATAACTGGAAGAAAGAATTTTCTCCTGTTTTCATCTTGTTAACTGCTGGGAATGAAAGAGGCAGTTGTTCCTGGTGTGTGTTTCAGGGTCAGGGTTACATGGACCCTTTGGCTAGACAGAATGAGCCCTGGGAAATGGGGCCTCCAGTTATTGAGATAGAAGAGGTGGGAGGGCTTATCTGAAGGCAACCTTCTCCAGAAGTTCTGGCTTACCTTGAAACTAGCTGTAGTCTGCAACTGCTAGGAGAAGGTATGGGACAGGAGCCTCAATAGTCAGATGGGCCTGGTGCAATCCTTCACCCCGTGATGCTGTGTCTGGAGAGAAGGGCTAGCCAACTAGAGGAGCTACATAAAGCCAGGAGGCTGGTTCACCTCCAGAAGGGCCCTCCCAGGGGGTGGGGCCCAGGGGTACACAACAGGAGGGTTCTCAGAAGTAGTTTCTAGTTTGGGTTCAGTGAACTGCTCTGTGCATGCTCAGAGACTCTTTCTTTGCTGGTGATGCTTTACTGGATATACATTGGAGAACAAAGAGCTTTTGCCAAGGAATGGTCCGTTGTTTTCAAAGTCTGAAAGGAAAACCCAGCTCCTGACATTTACTTCCTTTCTGCTGTGTTAGCTGGAAGCATTGTGCTAATAAAGCAATACCGTACCTCTCCATTTTCTCTCTGTAACTTTGATTTTATGGATAAACAGCAGCTGACATCACTGGTTTTCCGCAATTCTAAAAAGAAAATAAGAGAGCGGGGTGGGGGGGGGGGGAGAGGAGAGGGCAAAGTTAGCAAGCATGGGGTGCTAAAGCAACAGTTCCATTCAATCAGCCTGGCCCTGGCATAGACTCTACTGCCTGAGACCAAGTCAGACCAACTAGCAGTGGATCTCCAGCACTGGTCTGCCTGCCACTTGCTACCTGGTTCATGTAATCTGAGATGCCAGGAACTGACCCTGGGGCTTCTGCATACAAAGCACTGCAGGAGGCCCTGCTGTGGAGGGAAGATGCGTTGCATCAAGGGCGAGCCATCCTGTCTGCTCTGCACTCCCAGATGCCTTCACAGCAAGGCTGGCTCTGGGAGGCACGGCTTCAGGGGAGATCTGCCTGAACTTGCGTGAGTTGCTGAAATTGTTTTAAATACTGCTTCAAATTTTATATCAAATGTCAAATTTAAATTTGAAATCCTGTGCTGCTTTATTGTAGATTGTCTTTTTAAAATTTCATTGCATCGCACAGATTGTTAATTGCCCAGAGAGCTTTGGCCATTGGGCAAAGGATAAACATACACAGTTACTACTGAGACACTGTACCTTTTCTAAATAGAAGCATGGAAAGTGAGAGATGGGATGGAGGTGAAGGTGGGGAGATGGTCGGTGCCAGTTCCCCACTTTGGAGGGTCCTTCAGCAACCCCCCCCCCACAAATAGGTGGCTTCTGTCAGTGAGCTGACCTTCTCACCATCGCTGCCACAAGCTGCTACTTCTCCTCACTCTCTTTCCCATCATCACTACTCTTGCTTAATTAGTAGGCAGAGAGCCATGGGGGACAGTAACATTCACTGTTCCTCCTTCTCATCACCACCATTATCTCAATTAGAGTGAGAAGCAGGGAAGAAACAGGCTGTAACGGCAAAAAGGTGTAACTCCCCAGGCTCACTTGGGCCCTTGGCAGGGGCCTGATCGTGCCTGCCCTTGGTGCCATTCCCTGGAAATGGTTCTGTAGTCAAGGTTTCTTCTGCAGATGACAAGGCTAGTCTAAGAATTGGTGCACAATGCTCAAGGACGCATTGAGTAAATCAGATTCTTCAAACTGGATTCTCCACACTCAAAGATATTATTTAAGGTTGCCGCCATCCATTGAGAATGTGTGCATTCTTGCACTGTGGCTGTCAAACATCTTGCTGCGATGTAGAAGCTCTGGGGATGATCTGTTTGACAAGGCACTCAACATGTTGCAAGGAGGGCTTCTCCCCAGGAAAAAGCTTTCATTAGTATCCCTGTCGCCAGTGCAATACACTAGCCCTAAGCAAATGTTTCATACCTTGGTAACTCATGTTTGCTTTTCCCCACTTAATGGTGTTAACATTACTATTTTAAAATTAATTCACAAGCAGCATTATAATTATCACATCTGGGCTGTTGATCTTAATTATGGCTCATGTAGAACTAAAGTAAATGGAATCTAAATAGAATTTATGCTTTTATTTATGAAGGGAAAATGGTCATTTACTCTAGCTAAAAAATAAAATTAAGAAAACCAAATGGGGGTGTGAGCGTGTGTAAACAAGCTGCATCTACTGTGACCAACTGGAGTTGGACTAACAATATACCCTGCTCAGAGTTCCACTGGGCTCAATGACTTATTCCCAGATGACAGTATTATAGCCTAGACTTATTATTAAAATTGCCCCATAGTATTAAAGCCAAGTACTAAAACCTAACCAGGGAATCCTTATATGCTGACTATGGAGTGGCTGCACTTCACAATCCTGTCCAGAGTTTTGTCATGTCTAGTCTCAAAAGTATCTCCGTCAGCCTTTGCTTTTCTGAACACTTACTAGCTGGACAGTCACCGAAACCACGTTGACATCTGTTGGTGGAATCTACCACGCCTTTGTCAGCATTCAATATTTTTCCCTCAGTTACTTTGAACCTACCTTCCCCAAGCTGGTGCACCTTCTGGATGTTTTAGACTAGAACTCCCATCAGGCCCTGCTAGCATAGCCAATCAATAGGCACACTGGGAGTTGTAGTCCAAAACTAATGGAGCGTACCAGCTTGGGGAAGGGGGACTTGTTCATCTCCTGCTACCACCCTGGACTTGAACATGTAATATTTATGGAGAGACTGAATGCCTTAATCAGCAGTATGTGCTGTTGGTCTCTTTTTTCTTTATAAGGCTTGAGGAGTACTGAACAGAACTTTCTGAGCTTAGGAAGATTTTTGCTGGTAAAAATTGAGTACTCCAACTCAACAAAAGCCATATTCCATCATATTCTGATTGCCTTATTAAATGGGTAATAAGATTCAGGGATTGGTTTCTCCATATTACCTGTAGCAATTCGGTGGAAAATTACTGGAATTGGCTCTGTTGTAACTAGTACATCTTCATCATTATCTGAACTGGACACGTAGGTATTATCTGAAAAAGGTAAAAAACACACATCCTGTGTTTAACATAAATATTAAGATTGAATGCAAAGCCAAAATACACTCTTCAGTCCCTCTCTGCCCTGAAGAAGCAGTGAATATCCCACTCTTAAGCTTAAAAAAGATATAACTCTCACTTTTGTATTTTATGATGGTTCCATTCATTGCTGGATCATGAACCAACATCTCTAAGATGGTTTTTTTTTCTGGAAATAGGACTAGAGCTGCGGATGTACTCAAAAACAGAACATGCAAATCTGAGCTCTGAGACATTACAGATATGAAAATGATGTTTGCTTTGTTTTTGCTGATTTTCATATCACTGTATTATTTAAATCTGCTCCGATACTTAAAGATTCAAAGAAAGACTCTTGTGTGACTAATTCCGCATAGGTATGGTTTAACTTGGTGTCCTGTACTGAGCAGGGGGTTGGAACTGATGGCCTTCTGGCCCCTTCTACTATTCTATTATATCTAATCATACTTTGGACATCAGAAATTTAAAACACTTTTCAAAAGATTTTTATGGCATTACGGCATGTTTAATTTGGGGCAGAGTGGAGTGGAATGGTGTCATGCTGTTGAAAGGGATGATAGTGCTAGAAGCAAAACATTGTTCTTGGTATGCCTAAACTGTGGGTATCCTTGGAATCTCAACCAGTCATTGCCATAAGGAAACTCTAATTGCACTAGGCAGACCTGTTGATGCTTTTGTGCATATCTGGTAACATGAAAAACTAGAGATTCTAATGTCACCTCAGCCCCAAGGGTTTCAATTTGAATTGAGAAATGGTGATCTCTGCATTTATTGGCTTGTTATTTGGGGCACAGGAAGGCAAAGGCCAGCTCTCACAGAGCCCACTAAGTGCGACAAACTACTGCCCTGCACTGAAAGAAGCAAGATGCCAGGAACAAGCAACTATAACTGTGCAAAAGGCCTCCTCAGTGGGGACCACAGATGCTGCTTCAACAAGCCAGAGTCAAAGGGCCAAACACTGCAAGTGGCTTGTCCTTGGCCCTTGAAGAAAACAAGGTAAAAACATAGTCAATAAGTAGAAGCATAGATTTAGGCTGCAATCCATAACCCATTTAGTTACAGCTATACACTTTTTTAAACTGTTCATTGATTTTCAGTCCCATTTGGAAACTTGAAAATGCTTTTTCCTAACACATTTCTCTCCCACTTGGCAGCCATTTTGTGTTGTTCATTCAACCTTTCTGCAAAGAGCAATGGCCCTGGCTTTTCACTTTCTTAGCCTTGTCTCTAGGCAGGGATGATCCAGTGGCTGGTGGGCAACCCCTCGCCAAGTCACTTGAGTGAACTGTTCAGGAAGGGAGAACTCCACCTTCCTGACCTGACCAAAGGCCTGGGCCTCTCAGTCAGGGGTCTGTAACTGATAAATACGTGAAGAAGGCAGCCAGCATAGGTCCTGTAATATCTTCCACCAATTAACAAACCATTAGATGGACTATTAGCATCAGAGACACCAGTGCTTCTTCACCTATGTCTGTCCGTGGGCATTAGGCTGTGCTCTTATTCACTGGAACAGCCTCTGTAAACTATAATGACTCCTAAAGGAGTAATTGTGCTACATTGTATTGATTCCCCATAATGGAAAGTTGAGTCTCTGCACTGCATATTGCAAGCTTGTTCTGGAGTACAGGCCTTCTATGTTTGTGTCCAAGTTTAATATGATACATATATGTACTGGAACTATCTATCTGTGCCCTGCTACAACAGAACTTAGTAGGCTCAGTCTAGAGGGAATTGTGGATTGCAGTCTTTTTGTACCTAAAGCTAACTCCTGCTACCCTATGGCTCTAATAAAGGATATAAACAGTCCTGAGTACATCCTTGTGTCTTTACCATCTGCATCCTCAAGAAACCCAAAGTCTGGTACCAAGGATAGATGTAAATTCTGAAATGCATAAACATTTGCTTGCTCTTCAGTAACTTATTCTGTTCTGAGATATATTATGGGATATTTTTCAACTGGTTTGAAACACCTGAGATAAACACATCTATCCTTATTTAGGAGGAACAGTCTCCTACTATCTGGTCCTGATGATCCCTAACCTGGTAACAGTGTCATTTCCTCAGGGTCTAAGAATGGGGATGTAGAACCTGTGCCCTTCCAGGTATTGTTGTACTTAACCACCTATGCTCTTAAAAAAGCATGGGCAACTTCAAGCACACCAGGGGTCGAATGAGAGCTGCTGTGGGACTCAGGCGATCTGAGCTAACTGGGTGACTCAGCCATGGAGCCAACTGGGTGACTTTGAGCCAGTCACAAACTCTCATTCCAAACTACCTCACAGGGTTATTGTGAGGATAAGGTTCAGAAGAGGATTATGTAAGCTGCCTTGAGTTCCTTGGAAAGAAAAAAGACAGGATATAAATGTAATAAATAGAAAATAAATGTCTTTCCAACCAGCCATGAGCTAGATTCCTGCTGCCACCGTGCCAAAAAAACAGGACTGAAGTAAATAAAATTGTAGCTTGACCTCTCCATTCTAAGCTTCTATGGCATTTGCCACTAAATTTCCAGGAAACTGTAACATGTGTGTGTGTGCACACACGCGCATGCCAGAAAACTGTATCTTATGCCCCTTCACACACACTGCAGCTGCTGATTACATGTTAAATTGTTGGCAGCGTCTTACAGGACAGCTTTGCATTTTCCAAATGTATCTTGAAGCAGAAAGGGGCAAATGTCCTGTTAGGTGTTTGAACCAAGGGGAGGACAGAACAAGCCAATTCAGCAAGAGGAAGGGGGGCTTTCAGCCACTGTAATAGTGTGCAGGGATGGAACAAAGTGGCCAAACAAGGGTGCCTGAATATGCAAGCAGCTCAACTGAAATGAGGGCAAGCAGAACTTAGGCGCAGCCCACTTTGGTGGCCTGCCCCTGCCCCCCCTGCCCCCCCCCCGCAGGAACCCTAGGCCTGGCCTTTCCCCTCCTCAAGTCCTCCAGGTGCCACTGGGCTGCTTGCCTCTGAGAGCGAAGGTAATGCTTGCTTGCAGACCTCTGGCTACAAAGCCTGCAGCTCAGCAAAAGGAAACAATGAGCAGCCTCTTTGGAGGAACACTTCAGAAGCTTCAGGCAGCAGGTAAAGAGGGTAACCATGAAACAGGTGGCAGGGAAGGAGGGGAATTCCTGCTCTTGGCCTAGCCTTGATGGCTTTGAGAGATTTAAGAAATGCAAAAGGCTCCTCCACCTCAAATTAGACTGCTGAAATGAAGAATGCTTGGCAGGAAACCAGGCGCCTTTTCGGGGAAATGACTGTGAATTGAAAACAAATTCCTGGGCTAAGCATGTGCTCAGAGGCCCCCTGTTACGCAATTCTGAGTGCATGCCCAGCCCCTGAACCATTTGATTTTATTTTTGGGAACAGGATTCAGTTAGTGGATCTTGAGATTCAAGCCAAAAAGCAAACAACCTCTAAGTAAACCAGCATCCTTCTCTCTGAGGGCCAGACTAGACATCTATTAAATATGTGTCTAGCAACTATGGTTTATTTCTCTTTGCACTCTGAAGGAGACCTGATCCAGATTTTAAGAGCCCCCGTATTGCCCCCTCATGCTAACGACCCAATCTTGATCAAGGTTCATGTGAGTACTTTACAGTAAAAAAGAACAGAGAGAAAGAGCAATGCAACTGCTGCTAGATACACAGTTAAAGTAATGCTTGTTTTGGCTCTTCTCTCTCTCACACACACACACATCACATTCTTCCTCTCATGAATTGGGTTCATTCTCACCCTGAAAAGCAGAAACGGAGGCCTGAAAGCAGAAATAACAATGCAAATGAAGTAGCTAATGAAATGTGATGAGCACAAAGGTGATCCGGGGGCACAATAATGAAGTTTCAAACGCCTTCAGTTAAATCTTTAAAAGCATAGCAGTGGCAGGAAAAGTAGCACTTTACCTGGATAATCCTCAGAGACGTGCACTGAATAGGATACGCTGTTTAAAAAGAAGAAGACAAGGAAGAACATAAGAAAAGCAGAAGAATAATTGTGTTGAACTTGCCTATATTTATTTATAGTTTTTTGACAGCTCTCAATGCACTTCATGCAAATAAATAAATAACCAGACAAGGCGTGAAGGTCCCATTTCCAGCTCTCCCCTCCTGCTAAAATAATGCCACTAGAATCCAAACCAACATTTGTACAAAGGGAGCAGAGGCAGGGAGAAGCAGAATGAAACTGTTTATCTCTTTGTTTCACAACTGTATTTCTGCATTACTGCCTCTGCTCTTTTGATGTCTGAAAAATCTTCTTAGGGGTGCAACACCACCTATAAAAACATTGCAAAAATGTATGTATTCCTTCAGGACAACTTTCTAAGAAACTTGAGTCTGCAGTCTTGGGTCCCAAACCTCAAGTGAATTTTACACAAGAGCACCACGTCCCTTCAGTGACAGCTGTCATTCACTTGTTGCCTTCAGGATTCTTTTTCCTGACAAAGCGAAGGCAATTAAGCATCCCACAAACCTTGTCTCATAGCCTTCTTTGAAAAGGCAGTTTTTGTATCTGTTCCTTATGTAACAATCCCCATCAAACATTCAATTTAAGAATGGGCATTGGGTTAAAATAAGTTTTGGGTTTCTTAAACCTAGTCTGACAGAAGGTTAGGAGAGCATTTAAAACAAAGAGTTTGTGATTCCATATCCTGAAAGCTTTTACTGGGTTGGCGGAGTGAGGTAAATGCTCTGACTTGGATCCAGCAGCTCCCATTGAGCTGCCTCCATGCCTCTTCCTTGTCTGGGTCTCCAAAGCAATGGCCACTTCTCCATCCACCCTTAATTAAATGGATCTTATGACCATCCATTTAATTAAAAAAACAAAAAAGTGACAGAGGGGCTGTCATACTCCAAAGTGACGTGCCTGCCAGAACCAACTTTATGGGGTTCAAAAGGAACAGTTTTGTTTTTTGGAGCTCAGACCCCATCTCTGGCTTGGAATTAGTTTCTTGGGCACGTTACTTGAACTTTGGTCTCATCCATTTGCCTAATGAAAAATGTGGGCTTTGCCACTGGCCACATTCACCTTGGTAAGCATTTTATGAATGGGCAAATCCACCCCCCATGGGTGCCATTTTGTGACAGCACCCATGACACTCTCTTAACATTCCAGATGTGACCATCAGTCCAAAAGAGATTTGGGGATGTCTTATCTCTGCGGTTCCAGGAGGACCTCCAACCTTCTGCAGTGGTTTTTGTGCAAGGAACAGAGGGCTACACTAGGAAAGAGAGAGAGTGGTGGTAGAAATTCCTTCATACCATGAAAGCCAGAACCAAACCTATTGTTGGGAAAAATTAGCAATGCTACCACCTGCTGAAATGGTACATTTAAAAAACTTTATTTCATTTTTTAAATTAACACAAGTCCCTAAAGCAGCTTACATTGATCAAATGCACTTATAGTTTGCAAAATACTACAAGTTGAAAATGGAGCATCACACAGCAGTTGTCACAAGGAGCTGTGTGCAAACCCCTTTTCCTCAAGGAAAATGCACGCTATCCACCAGAGAAGGATGCCCTGGATTTCTCACCATAAACTTTCAGAGGGATTTTTCACATTTTTCCAAGATTGGCAAGCCTTTGTCCCTACCACAGCATTCAACATTTACTGCACTGCATCCAAGTCTTACACTTCTAACGAACAGAACAGAAACAGACAGCTTTTCTGCTATGCATATTAAAGTATCACAACGTATGTATCAGAGTTGTTCTACCAAATCAATCTAGGTCTAGAATATAATAGAAGTCTTTTAAAAGTGGGGTGGAGTTTCAAGGCAGCCCAGTATTAAACTGAAAATTCAATTTAAAAGACACAGTTCATGAATACAGTGGTGTAATGATAAGTTGACAATCCCCATTGCCCCTAAGGAAAATCCCAAAGTACAGACAGCTCTATTAATCCATATTAACAAATCAGTTTTGGCAGCTTTCATCTCCCCTGCAGCAGGTCTTTTGCAAAGTTAAACTGTTTTCATTGCCTGTTCAAGGCCAGGCCACCCCAATATACTTTGCATAACAAAAGGAAACAATGCATCATTGCTGGGGAAAAATCTTAGCAGCCCCAAGGGTGAAGGATAAAGCTAAGCTAACACAGATGTCAAAGGGAGCTGGGTGACAAAAGACATCAGCACCCCTGTTGATCCAAGTGTGGCAGTCCTTTCTGAGCCAGTCCAAGAATATTATAGAATGGTGGAAGGGCTAGAAGGTCCTGGGGCAGGGCTTGGCCTCTTCTACCCTGAACTATGTCTGTGCTTGTCTTGCCTTCTCTACTCAAGAGCAAAAACCCTAGAGTCAGTGGCTGGGTTTTAGGGCTGCACGAGATCCTCTGCTTCATCTGTTGGCCTTGACTACAGCAAGACGATTTTCCTTTGTTCCTCCCTGAAAGAGCGCACTTAGCAGCACCCAGGCCTTGGGGACAAGGAATTATGCTCTGTGGCAGCCTCTGTCTTCTGGGAACTCGAACTTGACAGAGTAGAGGAAGATGAGAGGTTGTAACATTTATTTAAAGTTCCCTTTTCAGGGTTACATCAGGTATACCTGTGCTAGGAGATGCCATTTTAGTTTCTTGAATTGTATGTGAAACATGTCTTTGACAGTGGCACGGTCTCTTGCACTCCTGCTCCTGGGATCCTTCGGCGGAAGGCACAATCCTACAGACTATTCTAATTTTGCTTCCATGGTACTGGTACCCAGAATATAAGGCTGGTGGCTGACATTTTCTAACCCTATTCTGAGACTCCTTTCCGGACAGCTTTCAACAGGAAGGGTGCCCATGTGCCACTGTACATGAGGGGAGCCATGCTGGATCAGATGAAGGCCCATCTCTTTAGGTAGTGGCCAACCCAAAGCTAACAGAAAGCCAACAACAGGAATGCAACATCTTCCCCAGCAACTGCCATTCAAAGCTCTTGTAGTCCACTATAATCCTATCTGACTTCTGCATTTTTCTAAATGTTGTCCTTGCTATGGCTTAGAAGGATAATGGATTTACGTTTGAGTTTAGGTCTGCCATCTTTAAGATTTGGATACTAAACAGAGGGGTGTGGAAAGGTTCCAGGCTGCTTCTCTAGCTGGGCTTGACCAGAAGTTTGCATCCTACGGCAATCAAGTCATGTACAAAACATCCCTTTAACCATCGACTAATCTGCTTCCAACTGATCCCCCAGCCCAGACTGATTTACTCTGGTATTTGGCATTGGGTTCTACGTCTTTCTGTCTGCTGTTTATTTTCATCTCAAAGAAAGAAAGGATCTAAGTGAATTTATGTATTTAAAAAATACATACTGATTTTAAAAAGTTCTTCCCAAGTCAAATGCTTGCTCCTCTATCCTCCTATACCTTTCCCAAACATGCACATGCCAAGTATGTTGTACTACAACTCCAATTGCCACATGCTGGCTGGGACTCATGGGGCCTTAGTGGTAATCTTAGGGGATATCTGGAAATGGCTAAATTGGGGAAAGCAGTTTTATACCACCACTGTGGCATAGTGACTAGGGTGTTGGGCAGGGAACCTGGGGGATGCTGCTCTAGTCCCCATTTGGCCATGAAGCTTACTGGGTGGTACTCTGGGCCAGCCATTGCCTCTTAGCCTAACCTACCTCACAGGGTGGTTATTGTGAGGATAAAATGTAGGGGAAAGGAACTCTGTAAGCCACTGGGGGGGTTCTTGAAAGGAGAAGAAAGGCAGTACAGAAATATAATGGAATAATAATGATAATGCAGGGTCATTGGGGTGCGATCTATCTCAAAGCGCCTCCCCCAACCTGGTATTCTCCAGACATTTTAGAATACATTTCCCAGAAAGCTGACCATTCATCGCGCTGAATGGGGCTGATGGGAGCTGACATCCAAATCATCTGGAGGCTTCCAAGTTGGAGAAGGCTGTTCTCTGATACTACTTAGAGAGGCAAAAATAGGCCTGCTTCCTCTTTTGTCCACCCAGGTAGAATAAGCACCATGAATGCAGCCTTTACAGAAATTGTCTTGCAAACGTCAGTTCAGTCCCTCCCCCGCATCTAACATTTACCAGTTTTCCATTTTGAGGCAGCATGTCAAGATTCACCACGCTGAAAGGCAGCAGTCTCGCTGCTTCTCCTCAAAGCAGGACTGCTTCCCCACTGCCTTCTACAGAAGTCAGCCTATGAAACCATGAAGCAGTTCTATGCACCTTCGTGGCAAGTGGTGAGCAAGGAGGAACGCTCTGCAAGAGGGACAGGAGCTCCCTTCTCACCCTAAGTGCCCTGTTCTCACAAGAGGATGCTAAAAATTGGGTAATGCAGGCATATAACCACTGGACAGGTGCTCACTTGCAGGTACCTCTGATGACGTCTCCGTGCCTCATTGCAGTTCAGCTTATCAGTGTTCTCTATTAAAATGCATCACGTTTAAACTGAAATTGTGTGGCATAAAAGTTTTATCTGGTCACAGTATTCCAAGTTGGCATAGTGTCGTGCGCACGCTCAGAAGAGTCTCACGCACGCACAAAGGAGTGAAGGTTCTCGTGAGAACCAGAGCTCCGGAGAAGGAGGAGATCATTGTCCCAACAGCAGTACAAAGCTCTCACGTTCCTTCCCCAGATGTTTTGACTAGCGTAAAAACAGATGGTGTCTTCCAGCCAGAGGTCGAGGCTGGGGCGCAGGAGCACAACTCTTCAAGGGCTGATATGGGGCTGGATACTGATATGAATTGTGAGAACAAAGCTGAGGGGGTGCCTGTGATTGAGGATGCTTGTTCCCGCAGGTGCACTCGAAGGCTGGGACAGTTGGAGTCTCGATTAGAAGCACGGCAAAGAGCACCCCACTCAGAGGGTGCACCCTCGGCGGGTCCATAAGCAAATGTGGGGTGACGTCAGAGCGAGAGGTGAACTTTCTATCCTGTGTGTGTTAGCGATGGGGCATAGTTTGTAGCTTTTGGAGTCAAGATCCTTTGGTAGCTGTTT